CGTTCTTACCGGATTTCGCCGGTTCAGAACCCGTCTGGCCCGATTTCTTTGGGCCCTTTCTCGGGTCTCCGGTCCGTAACGCTCCGAAGTTCCGTTTTCCCTGGTCTGTTCTTGTAACTTGTGGTTCCTGTACCGGAACATTACTCACTGCCCGCGTTGAACTCCGTTGCTTACCTCTCTTCGGATGACTCGTGATTTTCCCGCCGGTTACTTCCTGGCCGGCCGGGACCCGGTGGTCCCGCCGGTCGTTTTGGCGTTTAACGACTCCGACTTTCTTTTTGGACATGAAGCTTGCCAGTGGTCATGATTACCACAAACTCTGCATCCTGCTCCCGAAGATAGTCGTTGCTTTTGATTCGGTACTTGGGATTTTCCAGCACTCTCAACTTTTCGTTTATCCAACCATTTTAACTTTGGTGGTACGCTGGTGCTCGCTCCCGCCTTATCCGATACTACGGCGTTGCTACCATCCAGAACATGGGCAAGTGCACGTAATTCGCTGAACGATTTCAGTCGCTGTATACGTGCATGAATTCTAAATTCNGTATTTAATGTAATATATTTATGGACTTAAAAATGTGGTGGCCCTGAAAAGGGCCGTTTTAAATTGTTGGTTCTTAAAAGAACCGTTTATATTTACTGCCGACGAATAACGATTTCTGGAAATAAAACACCTCATGATTTTTTTGACGTGTCATGTATGCGATAATTAATTTTGTCATTTTTTTAATAAGTTTTATAATTAATAGGATTAAATACGATCCCAGGATATGCACGTGTATGTCAGACATAAATCGTACTATAGTTGGTTCTGTACACTTCCACATCTCTCCATGATATTTGTACGGTTCATCCATTGTACTCAACTATGTACCAATCATATACTAAAACTATATAGTTATGTTCGTTTTTACAGAATCTTATATAAATATATAAGAATTTTAAATTAATAAACTACATTTCATTAGCTTACATTTTTGTATAACAGCAAAAAAATCTTAAATTACCTACAAGGATTATAGGCTTAAGCCCGGATAAGGGGGGGGGGGTCCAGAGGAGCCATGGCCCTCGATAGGTAGAATTTATTTAGGAGCCTCAGATTTGTCCATTACTTTTTTGTTATAGGCCATAACACTGCATAGATTACCTAAAAAAAATCGATATGTTTCTGATACCTATATATATTTATAATAACAGGTATCTAATATTAAATAGTATATAAGTTATATTTTTTTTCGTACAGGGGCCTCATTTTAAACTTTGGCCCTGGGTCTCAAAATGTCTTAATCCGGACTTGTATAAACACAGATAAATGAATCCTGGTCGATAGAAGACTGCATATCGGCAGTAGGGATCCGTCGTTCAGCGTTCTATCGGGATCAATTTTATCAAACACTTTTCTTGTTGTACTACTTATACCTACCAGCTACCACCTATATAGTTAAATTTTGAAATAAGTTGGAACATTTTTTTGACTAGCTAAAATATGTTTAAGTCGCCTGGTGCTGATGCCATTTTTACCTCAAAAAATAATATTATCATTTAATTATATTATTTAAATTATGTTATTGTATAAATATTTTACCATTACGGCAAACTAGTCGATTTTATCACCAAGGTGTTAGGTAGTATACATTTTATACTTACATGTAAGGTATTTGTATATTTTAATCGTACACATATTTTGTATGAGTTAGTAGCTATTTAAAATTTATATACCCACGTTGTTCTAATCACTATTATTGATTTTATAAATAGTAAGAAATAAGTACTTCTTCAGTAGTATTTGAAATGAGAATGGATATTATAATATTACTCATTATAGCTTATAAAGTTATAAATAATATTTGATGTTTCCGATCCAGTCCTGCATTATTGCATTATTTTGGAAACCAATTGTTATGGTATAAACTATAATTTATTATATAAATAAGAATGAATAAGTCTACTATTTTTAGAGTGTTAATACTTTTCTGTTTCATAATGTATAATAATGCTTTTAATCATCAATCGACATTCGACTTTTGTTCGTCAACGAGTAATGTTGTTTTAATTTTTTTCGTATTATGGATTTAAATACTTTACTTTTACCTAACCACCTTTCAGTGTTTACTCTCGGTGCCTATTTAGGTCAAGACTTCACTCATGAAGAACGGAATAATGCAGGTACCCGAGGTGAATCGTTATTTATTCATTTCGGCATAATTCCTTGTGAATTTGACATACCTCAATGTCACTATGGTAGACCGATGTATCGAGGATCAGATGATACTCGGAAATTGAAATATAAATTCAAATGCTCTGTAGGTTATAAGATTTCACCCACCAAAAATACTTTTTTGGAATATGTGCACACTGCTGGAGAATTGGGTGCACACTAGATTGTGCAAATGACTTATCTTTGGACAATAAAAGCAAATACTTCTACTATCCAGCAGGAGGTAAATATAATAAATGCATAATGTTCTAATATAAATTAGTGGAATAATTATTATTGTTGAAACAATTATATAAAGCAGTTTTTTATATTCTCGTATATTCTGTAATGGCTGTTTTTAGAAATATTTATACACTAATGTTTTTATATTCTATAGCTATGTACTAGAAATGGAGACGCATTACTAGTTGTGTATATATTTAATTGGGCATAGGTTGTGATGTAGGAGCTTGGGACTGTATCGGAAGTATCAAATATTATTTATAAGCTATAATGATTAATATTATTATATGCATTTTCATTTAAAATTCTATTAACTAAGTTTTTTTTACTATTTCTAGATTCTATAATAATGATTAAAACAGTGTATATAAATACTATAAATAGGTACTAATTTATACGAAATTTGTGTACGATTAAAATATAAAATATAATTATGTAGGTATAAAATGTATATTACCCAACATCTTGGAGGTATATGATTAAATCGTATGCCGTAATGGTAAAATATGTACTGGTGGGTGACCGACGGATTAAAATAAAATAAAGTCTATGACTCTATGTCTATAGTTATAGTCTGTATTACTTTACTTTTGACAAAAGGTTAAAGTCTCAAAAGAAACTGCCTTAACGTTTTGCGAATACTTCCGCGACGTTGCCACGAAGATCGCAAACCACGATTATTCATTAATAGGAGATAGTCAAGACATCGTGGAAGTAGATGAAACGCATTTATTTAAAGCGAAATACAATGTGGGACGAGCGATGACATGGAGCGCTGTTTGGCTTTTTGGTATTAAAATATTTAACTTAACAAAGGTTTTGTTAGAGGATTGTGTGCCGGATTTCTAAAATGTCTGCAAAATTGAAAATTACTTTGAAAATACTTATTCTCTAATGTACTGCTTGAAATCTATTTACGGGAGGATATTTATAGAAAGTATAGAAAAAATAAGTTTAATGCGGGAAAAAGAATATTTTATTTTGGCACAGGTCCAATGTGCGACCTACACATACATTTTCGGTCCAGTGTGCGACCTACATATACGTATTGACCTATACTGCATATGTAATAGTTATTATAGTTATTAATTAATTAGTTATTTTANCAGTGTGCGACCTACATATACGTATTGACCTATACTGCATTTGTAATAGTTATTATAGTTATTAATTAATTAGTTATTTTATCCTTTAAATTTATCCATATTAATAGTTATTATAGTTATTAATTCATTTATAATTATTATCTTTCTTGTCTGATAAGAATTCATCGTTATTTTATATATAATTTATGTCATAAAAGCATCTTTCATGTCTGATAAATATTCGTCAAATATAGTTTGCTTGTTTGGGTGAAGAGATCTCCACCACTCCTCTTTAAGTTGTCTCGGTAATAATGGTGATGCGCCTTTTACTCTTATTTCATATCGCTTTTTCACTATTTTCCACACACATTCTATGGTTTGAGTATTGGCATTTGTATCAGGATCAATAAACCATTTTTGATGATTCACAGTACTGTGTATGTACCCTTCATTGTTTAATGACGAATAAGCTCTCCATTCATCACTATGGATTATACTTCCTAGTTCTACTTCATTTTTAATTATAGGAAGTAATGTTGCTTTGTCACGTTTTTCTACGATGAATAACCAATAATATTTGGTGGAGTCTTGAGTAATGTTAGCTAAAGCGAATTGAGCTTCTAGCTGCGCAAACCAGACCGCGGGATCTTCAGGCCAGAATGGTGAAATTTTGATTCCGATGCGAGAGATATGTGGTAAGTCTGCAGGTTGTGCGTTTTCCACGGTCGAGGTCATCACTGTAGGGAGTCGGAGGTAGATAGGATGTAAAGAAATACACGACTACACTTATTACTAACTAACAAAACTATATTACAAAACTCAAGACAAACGTGAATAGCTACACTAACGAAACAGAGCTAAAAACTAAAACTGTAACTGGTGGCGAAACGTGTTATATACCCGATAGAATTTTCTCAGCGTGGCACGTTAGACATTCGAGAATCTTCGCGGTACGACTGCTCTAGAATGTTTGCGGGCATTCGCCACAAAAGTATTTATCAATATAATATTTTGATATTGTAATTGATAATTGTAAGTAATTTGTGTAATTTGAAATAAGTTATTTTTTAAAGTAATTTTCCTTTGCTTGGCTAAAAGTTTAGGAATTTGTGACAATTAAGAATTGAATACAACCCTCTTTAGTATATAAATTGCTACTCACGATTTGAAATAAATAGCTCGTATGAATACAAGTATAGAATGATCCAAATTTATAACTCTTATTAAACAATTAGTAAAAGCATTTTGTCAACTATCGGGTAAAAAAAAGATTTATTTTAGTTGGTTCCACAAAGATTCTAATTATTTTCTCAGCTTATCAATACTAAATAATCAAGATGTTGAATGGGTACACTTGTTACAAATGGTAAGGCCTAAGTGAAAATATTGGAATTCAAATGGATTGATTGATTCATTCAAAACCCTTCTGAAAAAATTTATTAAATAAGACTTTCAAAGAGATGACGACACAAATCTATATAGTAGGTATTTATTTATTTGATATTAATTTATTCATTAAACAAATACAACAAAAATAAATAATTAACGAACCAGGCTTAAGACTTAAATGGCACATATTACAAAAATATGGATTAGTTGGGAAATCGGTTCTCGTCATGGGTAGAGGTACTTACATAAACTACACAACACACCATGTACGTATTCAAATTATAAGTCACAAGATAACTTCGGTGTACAGCTCTTCACAGCGCTGTATCAGTTTGGCGATGGGCATGACATTGTACGGAAAAACGTGGTTTTCTTGAAGCCGGAGCATCTTAAGTCGGAGTCTGATCAGCAGCCCCATAGCGTCGTCCAAACCAGGACCGCAGCTCTGGAAGAAACACCGGGCGTCCAGGCAGGCAGCCTTTAGCACGCGAAGAGCGTAAGGCAGGAAGTCACTCTCATTGGAAATGAGATAGTCTAACAACACGTCCGGTTCGTACGATACGCACTCCAGCATCTCAGCGAAGCCGGCGAACGGGTCAAGCATTTGTCGGAAAGCGGGTACAGCATCCGCGACGTCCAGCGCACACGTCAAACACTCGATAGTGGCGTCGTCACGGTCGCACATCAAGCGGACTGTCCATCGGCAGAACCCAACATCAGTCGTGTACAGCAAGTTGGCTTTGACGTATGAGTCCAAACAGTCGACAACGTCTCTAATCATTGCTACCACAGCGGAGTATCCATCATTGTCGGAACCGAGAAGCTGATTGTTGCCACAGACAAATGCACGCAACGACCGCATAGCCAGCAGCACCGTTTCCTGCAACACAACCCTTTTCCGGTCGTTTTCCGGACCGAAACCGCTCGCCATTTTTCTCATGAAGTATAAAAGCCGCCTACGGGTGAAGCCGGTCAGTATACACCCGGCCACGGTCACTTTTCCGGCCGTCCACCAGTCGTTATTTAACTGATCCGCGCATCTCTGCAGACTAACACTGAACAGACGGACCGTGCTAAGCCACATCAGCGGTTCTGCGTCCGTCCGGTACAACAGCCACTCTAGGCTAGGCAGCTCCGAATAGAACTGGTCACGGTTCTGGCACGTTGAACCGGCGGATCGGGACGCTCGAAACACAGAGGTCCATAAACCGACGATATCAGCAAGACCGTTGTTGAAATCGGTGGCCACCACTGTTCCATTTTCACGCAATGTGGCGCGAACAACATCCAACCACCGACCATTCAATTGATCCAGCAATAGCGTCTTTGTGTCACAGCCAATCTTAACATCAGTAAAACGTCCTGTCTTATCATCATCGTGGCAACACAATGTTTTAACAGTTAAGATCTGGCGGTAGTTGCACGTAACGTTTAGCACGCGTGTTAGGACGTTTACAGCTGCTGTACGCGACCGTCCCGCAGTCGTCGTAATCGATAGTAACAACCCGTTAATCAGGTTTGCCAGCGAATCACCTTCGGCGTCGGCGCAGCCTAGTGCTGCCTCGGTGGCCACGCATGTGGCAACATACCTAACGTGGTCGTCCACAGATGCCAACATTGTCAGCAATTGGTTAAACCACATTGTGCTGGACAATGTCGCAGAACAAGCTCGCTCTAAGGTTGGACAATAGTCTGAGTCTGCAATCGATTGGTGCTGTCTGCGGTGGCGACGGGTGGATAATAGCAGACGCAACGCGCTCAAGTGTACGATCGTGTCGACCGGCAACGCGTTCACTTCCGTAGGAAACTCGACCAGCCATCCGAACTCGGCAGCGGTCAACCGGCACGCACACCCGCTTAACAGGTGCCATTCGATCGTTTTTGATGATCTAGAAAAAAACAAACCAACGCGTTTCGAATGATTATTTAGTATTATTATTACCATTATTATTATATAAAATTAAAAGAAACCATTATTATATTACCTAGTAATAATAATTTAAAAATTATAAAAGAGTATTTGTAGTAATAAATATAAACACTTAAATAAAAGAAGATATTTAAGGAACTTTCCTTATGCAACATCATAATTTTAGACTATTTAAAAAAAACACGAAATTTATTATTTGATTAATATTTTTTATAGTATATATATTTTAGGCATATAGCAAAGCTGGGCAATACAAAAAATGTAAGTTAAGTTTAAAGTTACAAGTTAATTAAAAAATTAAAGTAACTTAAATTGGTAAAAAATCTGTTACTTTTTTTCATATAAGATTAAAAATTATCAGGGCTTGAAATCGTAACTGAATTATCGAAAAAAAGTTTGATAAAGGTCCTGTTGTTTGTAGAAACATATTACCGGTACTATATTTAAAATTACAGGTTTACCGATTAAGTGTTAACCGCTCCCAAAAAATGTAGGTTACCGGAAACCGATCGAATAACGGTTTTCTAAAGAAAGTGGTAGTACGCCTTTAATCCTGTGCCCTACCAGAGAGAGACAACGATTTAGTGGTCTACGTCGTCAGTTGAGAGTTTTACAATATTTAATACAATATTCGTGTTGTTGGAGGACTCAAGATATTTTTAGATTTCTTAGTTTAATACACGAAAAGGGAGACTGGACTATCGAGTATCGTCATAACCAACCAACGATATTTTGTGTTAAAGGTAGAAAATAGAAATGTAGAATACCAATTATTTGAATTATTATTACAAGAATTTAGACAAGGGAAAATACAACGAAGATTCAATAGTATGATTTAAGAATAGTTTCAAGAAATTATTCATTATTAAACCATTAATAGCTAATAACGTACAATCATTTATGTAGCTAAAATAAATTAAAAATAATATTATAATTCATAGTTAACGGTAATCGGTACTCAACATTTATAAATACCGATAACAGGTTTAAAATAGTGGTAACTGATATTTTTCGGTAAAAACCAGTAACCGGCTTCTAGCAATGCAAATTAGCTTATTATTATGCTAGCACATTTCATGGTCAGGGCCATCCTAACAAAATAATAGGTGAGATGCATTAATGTGCCAAACTGCCAACTCCAAAAAATTTTCTCACATCGCTCGACAACTATCATCTACCTACATGCATAGTACCTAATCAGTAGACACATTTTACACCATATTACAAAATATCAAATATTTTATTATATTCTCTATTTTGCTATCTTGTATACATATATTTTCATCACATCTTGACGAATATTTTAATACTAATTTTAATATTTTCAATAACACAATTTATAATACCGTTACATATTGATTAGGCTATTAAGGAATGATTGGAATGAATAATGATACAAATTACAAAATAACCAAATATTCAATAGCAATATTAATTAAATAGTTAATACTGACTATATAATATAAGTGAAACAATTTTAGAATATTATCACTTAATCGATGTCTAGGTGAGACGAGTCAACATAAAATGTTCGCATTACTTCAATAAATAGAAAAAATAGAAATTACAGTCGTCAGCGCACAACAGTTTTTCATCAGTTATTATAACAGTATTACTAAAAATAATTCAATGACTATACGAATGTATAGGCAAATTTGTATACTGTTATAATAAAATATAATATGTATATTCTTAGGTATTTAAATATTATTATAGTATTTGTGTTGGGCAGTTGGCAATCGGAAAATTAACTTATATTCCTTCATATTATTATAAATTACTACTATTATGACATATTTGTACTTTGTAGTATTTACAAAATTATTTAAAAACTAAAAAAAAAATTATAATTTGCCGAGTGCCAACTAAAATACTTAATTTATCAATTGTGCCAACTGACATGACATATTGTGCACATGTGGGGGGGCACCCCTAGAACCTCTCTCCGGGACGGCCATGATCATGGTAAATTAATAGAGGTCTTACAATTTTATATAAGTTGCTGTAAGTCCATAATATATACTTAAATACTTTAATAAATGACAAAATCCAACAAAATTAATTATTTAATGTATTTTTTACCTTAAGGTCCACAACTATACTAAATTATGGTTACCTAATTAATTATTAGAATATAATAAATTACATACGATTTTATCTTATTCAACAAAATAATTATTTAATATTTTTGTAATCTCATATATATATTACATTGTTGCCACATAATGTCAATTACTTAATGCGTATCTTTTTATAACTATTGTTATTATTTTGTCATCTGTTGTTAATTGATAACATATGTTATAATATTGTCATCATCAACATAATTTGTATACTGTTTATCACAATTGTTTTTGTATTTTAAGAATTCCTTAATAACTTTTAAAATGGGTAGAAAACTATTAAACAAAGTAGAATGTGGGTTTTAGGATAGGCCCATTATATTAATAAAAAATTTTAATGACTTTTTTTTATCACTAAATAAAAATGCATAGTTTTTATCCAGAAGTTTTATTAATTAATATTACAAAATAAGAAGGTATTGCTTGTACTATACCCTGTTGAGATTATTAAACACTGTATAACATAAAATTAAAGTAAAACAACATAGTAACACATTTTATGAAACATACATTTAAAATTGAAATCCAAACAAACTATTTAAATGCACCTATATAATGAAATTCTTAAATTTAGTTAAATATATGACGGTTATTATGAGCGTATAACATGATTGACAATTATAATACCTAGTACATTTGTTAACAATTTTTTTTTATTTTATATATAAATTAATTAATATTTGTACAGATGAGATTGCTATTTTAATTTAAAAACCATATAATAATCTAAGGAAAGATAAATTATTGCATACAAAAAATAGGTTATTTTTAATTAAAAAAATTAAACCACTTCCCTCTTTAGTTCTTAACATGTTTTTCTTGACAACACATTTGTTACCGGTAACTTGATAATTATAATATGTATCTTGAGTTAACTAGAAAATCTGTAATAAAAAATATAAATTACCAAACTTTAAAATTCAATAACAATAATTTCCAAACATTTTTGTTTATATTATCTTGAAGTTTAATAGCATTAATTTACAAGTTAAAAATATAAATTACTTCATTTTATTTTGTAATATATGATCTGGTTAAAAATTTTTTTTCAATTTTAGTAAAAATGTTTGTCAAATTATAATTTGAAATTCAAAATAGTCACCCTTTAAAATTATAGTGATCAAATAAAAAAATATACTTATTAATAACACACAATTTTAAAATGATAACATAATTTGTTGATATCTAATTTATAATAAATTATTAGTTATATTTCACTTATATAATTTAACAAAATCTTTTTTTTAATAAATATATTCACATTTGTTATGTCTTTATCCAATTATTTCCAAGAAGTGTTCAACTTTAAATGAAAACATAACAATAATTGAAACAAATTTTTTAATTTTCAGCAAGTATGGTAAAAAATCAGGTTATTTTAGGTTATAGTAATATGTACATACTTATCAAAAGTTGAATTATTTATTCTAGTACAAAATAATATTACTGATTAGTTATAAATGACTATATAATATGAAATTTGTTGTCAAGTTGAGAATTAATTTTCATATGCCATTTAAAATTTATTATACAAATATAAAATTAAACAGTGTTGATGTGAGATAATATTTACCTTATCCCAATATTATACACTGTAAAGTTCTATATCACTTTGTATGATTGAATATTAAAAATTCATAGCAATGATACTTTGTACAATAGACATTCATAGTATAAAATATAAAGTTTGTATAATATATGCAAGTTTGAATTTGTGACAAATGATACTAAAAATGTAACAAAGTTTGATGGGATTAAAATATTATTTGGTATCTAAGTATAGTATATTCCAAATAGGAGGGATGATTTCAGTTATAACCTGTAAATTGTTCAATCTGTATTTTTAAAATTTCAAGAATGGATTTTGATAAAAAGTAAATCTAGATTTACTGTACTTTTAAAAGGTAAGACATGGAGAAATTAGATGAATTTTGTAGAGAAAATCAAGAAAAAAGGGAATTTTTACACAAAACCAGTTTTCAATATTAACAATTTTGTTTTTAGGTGTAACTCACAATCTAATAACAGATAATTTACATTTTTACCAAATGTTTATTTTGTTATTTTGAGTCGCTATTTATAGACATTTGAAATTTTCAATATTTTTCTAATAAGTTTTTATATTAGCAGTTACAATATATTAAATATACATAGGCACAGATTTTTTTATAAGTTTCATAAGTTCAAATTTTAGCAAAATTCAACAGAATCTCTAAAATGTTGTAGTTGAAAATGTCTGAAATGTTAAGTTTTTAAAAGTGAGGATTGAAAATGTAGAACAAAGTTTCTTAAAAGCAGTTCATACCGTAACCAAAAAATAAATAAACATAGTTCTAATTTCAAATTTCAAGTTCATACGTTTTGTCATTTTTTTAAAAATAGTGATAGTTAAGTAGTTTTTGGGTTTGAAATATTTTATAGAATAAAAAAATATGTGGTTAAATAATGTTTAGAATGTTCAATAAAAATTAAATTACTCAATTGTTACGTAAAAAAACCTAGCTTAGTAGTATTGTGTTGGATGGTAAATCCCCCACCAAGCGTTTATTAAAAAAATTATCCCTCCCCTTCCATCATGGATCAAAATTATAACTACAACATTGAGTAGCCATTGTCTTCTTGGGTTTAATCATAATAATATGCAGCATCAAATAAGTTTTTATCTTTGCAGTGAAAGGTAGATCACCAAAGTGTGAAGTTTCACGTATTTACCTACCACCGTATGCTCAGATTAATGTATATTATCATTAGTATTATAAAAATAAAATGTATGACAACTAATATCTTTTATGAGTACCAACATTGTTTGTCAGCGCAGAATCCATATTTAGCCATGTCAAAAATATGTTCTTTTGACATTGTCAATATACTACACAAGTTGTAAACTATTGATTTACTTTGGTCAAGACATAAATCACTTTGAACTCTGAAGAAAACAAGTGAAAACAGTAAAATTGTCTAAAAATGGGATAAAAATTGAATAATTATGGTCAAATATATGAAAACACGTATTTATGATAAATATGTAAACTTAAGTACATCTAATTTTAACGAAAATATTGTAAATCCAATTTAACACTTGCTGAAATTAATTTGTTATGTTATATTGAAAATATGTAATTGCATATAAATCCGAGCCCTAATTATGATACGTTATTTACTTACCCTGCAATCTATCTGTCTAGATAACAGCTCACTGTTTTTTATCCCAAAATTAAATTAAACAAAAATTATATAAAAAATAAAAATACAGGTTACACCAGCTGGATGTAACAGTTCTTAGACGTAATCTTCAGACCAACAATGTAAGATGCACATTCATGTTACAGGCACAATCATTTGAATTTAACATGTCTTTTTTTTAAATTAAAGTTAACCTTTAGATTTTTAACTAAAAATTTAAAATTAATTTAAATAATTAGTTTAGTATTACAATTAAAAATCTGCCTGTGATAGACGTAAAATAACTAAAAAAAAATAAAATAATATCTTGAGTTAAACGCTTTTAAGTGCTCACAACCATTCAAAATACTTGGATTTACTTTTCAATGAATAAATTGACTATATTTAAGTAAGACTTACGTTTCTTCATCACTATCATTATTGCTGACTTGATTATTTTGTATGACGGCTGGATCTGCAACATCATTACACTCTTCAGAATGGTCAGGTGTACTTTTCACCAGTTCTTTAAGAAAATCAAGGCGGCTATCAGAATAAATACATTGTTTTCTAAAAAACATTTTTAAAAATATCAAATAAAACTAAGACACCTTAAGTATACAACAGTATTTTAAATACTTACAAGTGGGCAAGAGTAAGAGTCCTTGCACTTTTTTGCACCGTGACATCACCGGCTTTGACTAAAAGGGACGAAACAAACAGTTCCAATGCTCGAGGTGTACTTATCATTAAGGATTTTTACGATTTAATTTATAAACATAATATAACGACATACATAAAAAACAATATAATTAACTCCAAAGCTTCAAAGAAAATAAGGAGAAACATATGAATTAAACTAAATTTCAAAAATATTGGTTATTTTTTTAAACACCAACTGGATCACATCTATACCCTGTTTCAAAAGAGAACATACCAGGCGGCCACGGGCAAAACCAGTTTTCTTATGTAAATCTGGCATATTCTCTTTTGAAACAGTGTATAGGTATATATTATGTAGTAATTGTGAAACTTTCATTTTTTTTAACTATACTAAACTAGATTTGTTGTTAAAAATGCATCTCATTTTATTCCTTCTTCTAGCATGTGCTTATCCGGTTTATGTCAACTAAATTCTTAAATCAATAAATAGGTATAATATAATACTTGCATACAATTTGTCCTCTACTTATGAATGTAATGACTTTAATTTAACGTAAAATTTAAAAATATTCACAGCGTGGAATTAAAAAGGACAATTTTTAATTTTAGTGTCTAGTTTTAAAGTCAAGAAATATTTCGATAAAGACATTAATAATAATCTACATTTTTAATAATTAAAATGTATTTACAATAAGTAGTAAAAAAACCCACGTCCAATACTTGTCATAAATTGATTAGATAGGAACAAGTATGTTCAAAATAAACATTATATAATTATTTTAATTGATATATTTTGTATTAAAAATTTGTAAAATATTAAACTTTGGTAATATAAGTTTATTCCTTTTGAAATCATCAGTAAACATAAAATGATTGTATTGATTGAAAATAAGTCTTTACAGCATGTAACTCAGAATACAAAATGTACGTAGTTAGTAAAATCATTGATTATAAATAACACCTACTGTTTTAAAATTATTTATAATAAATTGTTAAAAGTTTAGTGAACATGACAATCATACAATGCTTATTTATAGTACAGTCAATTATCATCCCGATTATAATTAACAATAGTATAAATAATGTAAAATATACTAACATAATAAATAGGTATATACAATAATGTACCCAGTATCTAATTGTTGAAATATGTATTCAAAAAGGATATAAATCATAACTGGAACTGGTAATGCAACTTTACCAATTTCATCATCAATTCTCATAATTTTTTTAATCCTTCCCTAAATTAAAAAGGTACTTCAGTAATGCAATTAGTAAAATATTAACAGTTTGAATTAGACATTTAAAATATTAATATATTAGGCAAATAGGTATATTAGACCAGTTTAGTTTTTCCAAGACAAAAATATATTTGATATCAGTAACTGGAAATAAACCACAGTTTTAAGGAATTTCAATAGCTCTCAATAAAAAAAATTGTAATTAATCAACTTGTGATAGTTGACCTCAAATAAATAATTAATAATTTAAACTTACAGCTGGAAATCTAGCGTTGTACTTCCTTTTTTTGCTAGGCATTTTATTGTGTTGTGAAGTTTCTTTGTTTTTCTTGATTTTGCTGATGAAATTGTTGCATATATTATAAGAAAGCTCTGTCAACAAGATTTACCCCCCAAAAAATAAGATTACAAGTGACCATTTGTATAATGGAAACAAAACAAGACACTGTAAGATTGATTGTAACTATTAATTACAAAATGATTTAATTTATTTCATGAATAGTATAATATCCAATAACCATTGATATATATTTATTTAATACATCAAACTAATAAATTGAATAGTCCGGACTTCGGAGTCCATAACAATACTGATAACAAAACAAACAGTATTATCAGGTGATTTGCTTGTCTTAAATGACAAATTTTAGTTTTTAGTTTTGTCAACTACTATTAATCTTGAAGAGCCTGTACCTTTATTCGCCAAACCGACTGAAGGGCAATAAATGTTGATTTCTATTTGACCTAGATAATAATGTATAGTATGTATAGTGCTTTCCACATGTCAAAAATCTGAAATTGAAATCATCAAATCGTGAGGATTGTAACGAGACGCAAAATCACTATACAAGAGTGGAAAACGAAAGGTTCAACAATTAGTAGAGAGAAAACGCTTCAGTGCATCAATATTTAAATTATTCACTCATACCCAGTAAAATCGCAATTTCTGACATCTGCCCGTTCACAGCATGGTAAAAACCAAATTTCGTAATATTATCACAAAAACTTGAGGAACTGTGTTATCTATGCTATTTTGTAACGAATTCGGGTCTTAATGATTGCGTTATCGTTTTTTACGGTGATAGTGATATTAGTATCATGAATATAAACCAGTCGGATTAAGTCCGTGATATTCAGTGTAAACTTAATAGGAACATAAACATAATATTACCTATATAGATAGTGTCTGGTGTTTTCAGTCAAAATCGCGGCTAAACTACTATCTATGACCGTGGAGAACACTGATAACCGACGAAAAACTAGTAAACTATTAGTTTAGTAGAAAATCGTGCTTTTTGATTTTGTAAATTCAAATTTGCTCTTTAAATTTTATTTTACTATATGTTTCTGTGATTAACATGCATATTAATTGTACCAGTTTGCCATGATTTTCCATCATCGATAGTTTGATTGTAATCTAGTTACGGTAGTAACTATTCCACTGTAATCTAGTAAGTTTTTGTATCTTGGAATTTCTTTCACACCTTCTTTGAATACTAATCCTATAAAATATTGGAAATCTTGGCTTTTATTGGATTTATACAAAAATATTTTAATAGATACCCTGAATATTGAATTTGAATACTTCAAAATCAACAACCATTCATGGCTGAAACGATAACATTATAAAAATATAAGTCTTGCTTGCTTATAAATATATCTAAGTACATTAAAATACAGCTTTCTTTTAAACGCTTGTGAAATTTTATACGGCAACATAAATGAGATTCAGTTGATAAAACAGGTAATGTGCAGCAGTTATCAAGTAGTAACAACTACTCCTCAATTCATTTGTATAAAGATTATAAAAATACATATTGTAAAAGCGTAAAATTCAAATAAATGTGAAAATAAACCATAAGATGACGCCACACAGGCATTTGTTGTCTTAGACTTATAAATGTACAACATGGCAAATTTTATGTTCACAATAATACATTTTAATCTGTAATTTCTAAAATTAGAGTGAATTCACTTCTTATAAAATTCAAAGGCAAGAATACTATCTAGGGCATCTTGGAGAATTTTATCGATATTATTTTTAATTAAGTTATGGCCATTTTTAAGCTGTATGTTTTTTGTATTTTAAATAATATGTTGTAGAGCAACATATTTGCTTTAATCTTCAACATTTAGGTTGGTTCTTTTTTAGGTAGCAAATGTTATAACAATAAATTATACTATAATATAATTTAATGCATTCATGTACATTATACAGAACTTCTCATGAGAAAATAACCGTTAAAAAATAGTATGCTTATTTAGATACATTTTGTACATGTATATTTAAAAAAATATAATACAGTATGAAAAATGAAAATATTAACTGTCTTTTTGAAAAGAGTAGTTAACTTTTTTAATACTGACTAGGATTCTAAAATTTACTGAGGTGATATCTTCCTTATCGGGTTCTGATCATTTTAACCAAATTGTTATTCCTTTTTTAAAATTACATAGAATGGCAGAAAATAATTTCTATGCCAAGCCTACTATATTGGGTATTCATATTATTATGAAAAGTTAAACAGTGAAGATAAGAAATATAGTTAATAATGTTATACATGGGTAAGAATATGGGTGGGTGTGCACTGTGCAGAACAGGTTATTAAAAATAGTTTTTATTTTCAATTTACAGGCAACTAAAATTTCACTCAACATTTAGTTATTCTTACTGTTCGGTATGGAGGTTGATGTACTAAAGATTTTTCCATATCAAACTAAAGCAACATTAATTGTACGTTTATATTAATTTTGTGAATCAATTTAAGTACTTTTTCAAGATGAGTGGTGTTTACTGTATAGCATGTAAAAGCAGGTACGATACCTTGGAACGTTACATGTTTCATCGATTTCCTAAGGATGTTGAAAGGTATCATTATTTATAAATTATTGGTTATTTTAAGGTTCATTTTTTGTTTATGTTTTAAATTTATTAATATAATTTTAGGTGCAAAGAATGGGCTCTACTAAGTCACTGTCCAAACTTAGCATATATGGAACCAGGAGCATTTTATCGTACTTACAGACTGTGCTCTGCTCACTTTAATCCGTCACAATACATGGGAAAATGTCTCATTAACAATGCTAAGCCATCAATATTTAATTGGTCTGATTCAAGTAAAATTGACACTAAAAGCAATATAGTTTTTGACCCTGAAGAAATCAAAACATTGTCTAGCCAGATTAAAGGTGAACATTTTTATTTAATAAAGAAATAAAAAAATAATCAATATAGTAGGTATAATATATATATATAATTTTGAAATTAAAAAAAAATCAAAAGATAGGTAAATGTTCTCAATTGAGTATAAAAAATATTAGCGGATAACCTGGGAAAAACAGTATATTGTGAATGTCACTATAAATTTGGTTCATTGAAATATATATTTCACGTTTTTCTCCCCAGGCCAAATATCTGGACTATGCCACTTCATTCCCCTTACAAAAATGATTCTTACTTTGAAAATAAATCAATTTATTAATTAGTTTTTAAATATTGGCTAAAGTTTGAAGATGATGGAATTAAATGGAGGCGGGCTGCATTAAGTTAGCCCAACTTTCCCAAAATAGCTTCTTACGGTCAAAATAATTGTTTTCAAATTCTAAAAACTGGTTTAAATATTTTCTTTTGATAAGTCAGATTAAATGAGGGAAGCAACTTCACACACTTAAAGTTCTAATTAATGTTGTAACTTATGAAAAAATCTCTACTAGAAGATCAAAAATAAATTCTTTTACTTTCCGTATAATAAAAAATGATTTTTCTTATTGTGTAACAACAATGTAGGTAATATTTTCTTGTTCATTTTTAGAGTACACAAACATTATGAATAATCCAAAGAGATTTAAGAAATTTGATGAGAGTAATATATATAGTAGCTTCATCACTGAGGTAAATTAGTACTTGTTATAAATGTTATTATCAGCCAAACAATGCTTTCATGGAAATAACAGTGGGCTCCTTTATTTTTGTCTGTATATTATATTTGCACTGCAGTACTGCTTGCTATATTTCCTTTCTTACTAAATATGGTTATTTCATAACTACTTAGAATAACTATTACTAATATAACTAGAATAATTAAAAAGAAAAAATGATTTGATCGTATTATTTTTACTTCATTTCTTGGCTCTGGAGTGGGCGTTTAACAAATATTGATTCCATAATTTCTTCAACAATTAAGATAAATTATTTGTTTTTAGTTTCTCATTTTCTTTGCAGATTTATTTTACTGAATAGTTTCAACTTGTTTTTTTTTTTGTCATTAATATTTTCTGAAAAGTTGCCTATAAATCATTTATTAGAAAGGTATTTGATACAGGTAATTATACAAATTACCTATAACTGTTGTAAACGTAGCATTTAATTTTGTTTATTTTTATCAGAACTTAATTTGTGTTAAGAATATATTAATTTTGAAAATGTAATGTACCTAATGTGCTCTCTGAAATAAAATAAAAGTATTATTCTTTAGTAACTCTTAGCACGGATTAAGATCTGGTGGGCGGGTGACGTGGGACAGATCTTCAATGTTTCCGTAAATACTGGGCATTACATGTTGTTAGCGCTTCTGGTGGTTTTATTTAGCATCACGTTTATATATATGTATATATCCAGTGTGTCTCAACTTGTAATACCACTAGTGGTACTCGAAAATCCCGTAGGTGTTTATTTAGTTTAGTAGTACATGGACAATGGACATGGTAGGTGGTAAGCAGATATTAATAGGTTGATAACTACTGTCTTAGTCCTCATTTTATACAAATGGTGTTGTAAATTGTTAATGCACATTGCAATCTCCATACTTGTCTCTTGTGCTCACATTTCATGCCAATGATAAATTGCTCCTTTCTTGTCCATTATATCTTAGTAGTTCTTAGCAAAGAGGTTCTTTGAATTTTATTAATACCACAAAACACACCAGTTATTTTCTTTTTTATGGATATTTGTCTCCTATAATAGAATATTTACTCACTAGTCTCTTACAATTACTTGGTAAAGAATAATGACATTTTAAATTATTTCCATGCAGCTATGTGTAATAGGTGCATAGTTTTATACATAGATATACCCAATATTTGTATGTTTAAATTACTATATTGTAAGTTTCACTTAATTCACCCTTCCGCATAGTACAGATGTGTCCAATAAATAAAAATAATAAACATTTGCTTTTCTGTTATAGCCTAATACTTTTTATGACAACCAACAACCATTATTTAAGCAGTTTTTTATAAAAACTGAAATGGAAAACATAAATAATATTGATATTAAAGTGGAGAACTTAACACATTTGATTGATCATAACTATTATGTTTCTCCTGGTATGTATTAATTTATGAGTACATTATATTTTAAACTCTCTAACAAAAAGCTATTTGTTTTCAGTTACATATACCATTAACATTTATGATAAAAGTAGGATTAATGGACATTTGTTAGACCACAATTACTTTTCACAAGGTATATTTTAAGTACAATATGAAGTTTTCATCATATAGTATTTATTTGTTTATTAGTTTCAGATACAAATATTCATTGGGATAAAAAGAGGAATAATCAACATTTGTTAGAACATAACTATTTTTTACCAGGTAAATGACACATAATAACTTTTGAAACTTAAGTTACCTTAATTTCATCAATTTGTATTTTTCTAGTTTTTAATTTCAAAATAATAAGAGAAATTTTACACTCAGATGATACCAGTAAAGAAGAAGATCTCAATGGTAAATATTGTTTCTTAAGTGGCTTGCCCGTGTGTATTTAATAAGGTGCATTATTTAGGCAATATGCCATTTTATTGCCGCTACTCTTAGCATTTAAGCTACTCTTAGCATTTAAGTTTGTCGTAAATGATGATTAGTGTGAGTATGGTTGTTATGGATACCGAACTATCCTCATGCAAGTACATGTCAGTGCACAACTCACCAGAAATGAAAATAGTGAGTTTTTGCTCAAAACATACTTTACAGGAAAAACTGACTTGCCTAGTATAGTGGTCTGATTTCACTATTTTTTTTTTTTTTTGTTAGAATGTTGATGATTTTCCACAAGAAACATTTGACTTTGATTTTTAATTTTGTTGCTTACAACAAAAACAATAAAACAAAAGCTATTGAAAATGGGTCACAATATTCAAAACCGTATTATATGGTTTAGAAATATCATTTTGAAATCCAAGTCAAAAGCGCCCTGTAAAGGCCTCTTTAAAAAATTTTATTTAAATTATCAACATTCTTCTTGTAAGGTATGTTTTTGAATAAAAAAAGAAAGATGGTTTTACAATTTAATAGATAAATTAATATGAATTGAAATTAATTAATAGGAAGTCGATTTAACATTTTTAAATTAATTTACTCTATATAATCAATGTACGAAAATGACGTGTGATACATGATGCATCAGGATAAATAAAAATATGATACATTATTTTTAAAAAAATTTTGATTTTTTTAAAATTTTATCGACATTATTGTGTTATTTATTTTTTTAACAGTTCATACATACGAGAAACCTGTTTCATATTCAATATTGCCTGGTGTTCGCCTAAACTCACAAGTTTATATGGACAATTTGAACTACAGATATTATAAACATTCAAGTCGGAACCATGTAATGTAAGTATTAGTAATTTAAAATTATTATATATAAAAAATCTCCACACTTGATTCATTATAAGATCATTTTTTTAAAATCATTTAGATATTTAGTTTGTGAAAATCAAAAAAATAAAACAGAATTTTGCCCAGTAATGGCATCTATAAGTGTAGATATGAATAACAGTAGAATAAAAACAACTGGGCAACATAACCACCTACCTCGGCAAGTGGACATTTCCATGGTAAATTTAAGAAGAGCGATTGGTCTACAAGCAACAAGAACTGAATCACTGTCTATACCAATTAAACAGTTATACAACCAAGAAATAATCATGTAAATAATAAGAATGGCTGGAAACATGTACCTTAGAAAAAAATACTCTAGAACATTTATGACTTAAAAAATAATACAATAAATAATGGTCCATGATTGTACAACTGCTAATTATATTTTTAACTGTTTTAGAAATCCAGAAGGTGCTAAAAATTATTCTTTATCACAGTCACAATTGTGTGTAAGAAGAATGCGTCAACGTCGTAAAGTGTCTTCAATTATTTGAAATGCACCAGGTTCCATGAATTATGTATATTAGTCTTTATTACTATCACAATTTTTCTTTAGGTAAAATATTTTTTGTGTAATAAACATACTTAATGAAATGACTTAACTGAAAATATGCTTGAAACCTAGTCTTTATTTATGTTATCAACCAAAGCCAATGGACTGCTAACTTTTTTGTATTGTAAAAATGACCATGTATAATTTAATGTAAATATATTTTTGTTGTATTTTTAATGTTTAATTTACCTATTTTTAAATGTACATTGAGTCAAAAAATGTCAATGTCACTGTTGATGCTCTTTTTTTATTTGTAACATACTGTTTTATACATTGTTGTATGGTGTCCAAAAAAACTTACATTATAGATGAATTGCTTTTATTATAGTTGTATAACAAACATTCAAATTATAACTGATGTAATGTGGGAAATTAATATTTTTATGAGAACACTAAGTAATTGTTATTATTCTATTGTAATATCATCCATAATCTATAGTTCATATTAAAACCATATACAGTGACCAACTTATGTGTTAGGCTTCATTTAAACAATGCAAATTTCAATATTTGTGCACACCTTATGTCAATATAATTTTTAAATACCAAAACTTTAAATTTGTCAATATTATCTTGATTCTTGGTGGTTAGACTTGAAAAAGTTTAACTTTCATATTTTTATTAGTTTTTAATGTTCTTTTCGTCTAAATTCAAATTTATACTAGTGTTGCCCGTGCCAAGGATTTGTTGCCTGTTAAAAATGAAAACACTATATGACTTGAACTTTGTTTAATCCATTATTTGATACTCAGGGTAATGGAGTTCAAAACTTAAAAAATGTCATTGATTGTCTTGTCATCAATCCTGTGAGATGCGTGCATAGTTGTAATATTGTTTATCAACATGTCAAGAGCCACTGTATTTATGATGTGCATGTAGGTCCTCAGGCAACGTTCAAAAAATTAGCCGTAAGAATGCCACTTTTACTAAGTTTAATGTTTTTGACCAATTATAAAATATATGCTTAAAATGATATTTAATCATAATAACCAATAGCAACCTTAAAATAAAATATTTAGTTATTATTTAGTTTATTTTTTGCTGAACAGATTCTGCCACTGTTGTATTTTTGCCACCCAGATTTCCTACTTTTCCGGTAGATTTTCCTAAAAATTTCTTTCGTGTAAGCCCTGTCCTGACAATTACAAGCACATCTAAAATAATCAGTCATATCGATCTATCCGTTTCTGAGATTAGCTGTCATAAAGAAATTAGATTTCACATTTATATTGTTTGATAGATTTCTGAGTATCACAAGTTATCGCAAGGCTTTTAATGTCATGCGTAGCTTAAACAAAGGCAATTAATGTGGATAAAACATTCTCTTAAATTTACAAGGTAAAGTTGCTTAACACATTATAAGAACCAAAATTATATTTGTATACCTGTGAATGGACAAAAGATAAAATAATCAGCACAAATTAATTACAGAAATAATGAGTAATATTTATCTGTACAAAAATAAACTTTCTTGAAATATAAGTAAATGATAAGTTGCCCTATACCAAAACGGCCTTACTCCGAAATGTCCTAGACCGTAAAACACATTTATCTAGGTATGAAAAGTAAATTGATTCCTATCAAAGTCAGTTCTATGCTTACACAATAAATATGACGTACACATGGGTAATACTTAAATGCAGTATCCACGGTGTGCATTTTATCACATTTATATCCAAGCAACCTTATAACCCTGTTACACAAATAGATGATTGTGAGATTTACATTTACAATAACAATGTAGTGTAATAAATATGCAATAAATTGTTATCTTATATATTTTGATCATTAATTATATTTTAAACAAAACCAACAGCAAAATTTAAGAAAAGCTTTAAGATTACAATATCTTGGTTACTATAGACAGTTATAAATCAAGTAATAATCATTATGTAAGTTGTTACTTACAAGTTATAACCTTTAAACATTATGTAATCACCACAATTTCGCTGCAAAATATATACATTTCACATATTAATTATGATATTTAATATCATACTATTTTACTACTTTATAGTTATCCTCATGGTGTAAGAAATTAAGCCTTATGCGACAAGCTTAAAAAATCTTTTAATGCATGGTTTTGCAGATAATACCTTGATAACATAAAAGTGTACTCTTACTAGTCAAATAATCTTCCATATCCATAAATATTGTATTTTGTGTTATTCCTTACTGTTATTTTTTCAGCTATTATTTCAACAGATTTTCAGCTGTATAAGAAAATTAAAATTGATGATAAAAATATTGATTTTACTATCAACCACTATTATTATTGGAATCTAGAACATTTTGTCCTCATCAAAAAATCTCATATTTTACTATGTATCTAATATCTACTACTGGCAAACGTCAAAAATAAATATTTATTAAAATACATCAAAAATCTGACCTATAGTTATCTTAACTTCAATTCTGAATATGTATTATTTTGTTAAATGCTGAAACAGTTTTTTTTTAGATGTACCAAAGTTAATAAGAGAAGCTGAACTGATAAATATTTGGTAATCACTTCTACTGTAAAAATCAAACTATTATAAATGTATTCTATACTCTGTTCAAGTTAAAAAAGTAGTTCACAGCTACCAGTTTTTGTTAGGTCGCAGTTAGGCAATTACTATTGACAAGTCGGCTGCTAACCATGTTTCTCAGCTTGGACAAAGTATAAACCATATACTACCATTGTTACTGCAATTGAGTAATAAAATACAGAAAAATAATTAATTGTATAAAATTTAATTGTGACTAAAAAAATTAAGTCAAAAATAAAATAAATTGTACTGCACAGAATTCAAATATTAAGAATGATGATGTTGGCTAAACTATTTATATAAAAATGAGTTTTTCTATAATTGAAATATACGTAACGTAACACATGAGTTAATATGTCAATTATTGAAGTTGATTATTTGTAATTGTATTATGTTGATCTGTATAACTGTAAATTTTGTGAACTATATTTTGCTCAATGTCCATAATTAATTAAATAAACAAATCTAAAAAAAGATCAACCAATATTAATCTTAAGGTCAACCAGTCGATAGCGATCGATTGAATGGTGATCACTGATCTTGAAGAATGCTTTTATTATTGAAATAAAACTGTTTTTAGCTCAAGTTATTTCCATGTTATAAAAGTAGAGTAATATACGTATGTATCTTAGTACATACGTTTGGGATTTATGAATTATAATTAATTATATATCTTATATAACTTATTTATTCCATTAAGTATTTTGTTTGACACCTTTGTTAAAATTATTTTTCAATCTGTAAAAGTAATCTGTCTGGGTTGCTCAAAAAGTAGTATTAGTAGTAAACTGATCTTTTGTTTATTGAACTATTCTTTGAATGTCATTAGTTGTATAACATTGAGATTGTTTTGAAGTATAAAAACATTGTTTCAACAGTAAAAAAAATTGAGCTTACAAAATTACTGACCAGTCTCTATAGAAATTGAGAATATTATTGATTATTGAGTAATGGTTACAGAGATAAAAAATTAAAGATTTGTGAGAACTTTTCTGATATTATTCTGTGTCATAAGATTGGACATTTTTTGTTTCCCAAATATTTATGTTATTTTTTTGTATCATTAGCAGGAACATTGGCAAATACTAAATCTCAACTAGGAAGTAAAAGAAATAAAAGTATAAAACTAATTGTTTGTATTTTAGATTCTGAGTGGAGCAATGAAACATGAAATTATTGATTTTACAATGATGTGTGTTTTTTTTTGTTTACCATCACCCTTTATAGGCAATAACAATGCTTTGATTTCCTTCAACAGCATCTTTTCTAGTCGGGAAGTGAATCTAGTTGGTACAATGGTACTTTAATGAGTCAAAAGTAAGAATTAAGGAATAACGGGAATTTTTACGGGAGGCCGGTTTTCAACAAAATTGATTTTGGGTTTTGATGTAAATATTTATGGAATATTATTGATGAAATTTGAACTAACTTTAAAAAAAAATACTGTAGAAACATGAAGTTTTTTCTGAATTATAACCATATCCGCAATTTATATACACCATAAAACGTTCATAATATTTTGACACGTGTTGAACTATTTATTGGCATATGAAATGTTTGATTATTATTAGTTTTTTTTTTAACTAATGAAAAATATTTTTTGCTCCTTCAAAAAACTTGAAAGCGTATTGCAAAGTTCCTCATAAGTTGTTGTTTGTAGAAATTTTAAAAAAAAGTTGAGCATAAAATTAGCAAATTATTTTGAGTTAGAAATTCATAAAAAATATATTTTTATATCTAAGTTCTAAGATTTAATACAAGATTCGTTAAAAGTTTATCTACCCATATAAAAAAAAAATGTCAACTGGAAAGTCAAATTCAATTTTTACAAGTATTTCAAGTTAAAATTTTTACAACATTGGATAACTCGATTTTTCATGTAGCTGTTTCCTTATTTTGTAGTAATTCAAAAACGAATATCAGTAGATACTTGAAATTTACACCATATTTTTATTTTATGAATTTCAATAAAATGTTATTTGTTGGGTCAAAGAGCGTGAAAATTTAATACAAGGCTCCTGATATATGTTTACAGTATCAATTGTAAAATATTAAAAATACATAGACAAGAATGATTTAAGTTATTTTGTTGTGATTTAAAAATATTATTCATGAGTAATTCAAACTTTTAGAATATATTATTACACACAGTGACTTTTCAAATGAATTTTTTTTTGGCAACAATTAATTTAATCTATACTGTAATACTAATGCTTAACGGTACAATTAATTACGTTAGTCACAATAATATTATCAAATATACTAAATTACTAAGTAATATTATAGGCTGACAGACCATCTTCTCTCAGGATCGTTTTTCTTATACAATGATTTTATATCATTGAAATCAAATTTAACACCGTTCATTACAGCGACCCACTTCTAACATACTGTAGGGCCACTAGGGCGTAGGTATATCGATTGCGCCTAAATTACTATTTTACCTGTAAAAAATCTATTGATTCAGCTGGCCAACGAATCCGCCGAAGTTTTTTATTTATTTGTTCCTCCGGTTAATATTTGTAAATTATTTATTAAAATAAAATGTAAAAGACTATTATTAAATGCAGAAGAAGTAAGTGAAAGATTTTACTGTCATAAATCATTTATCCAAGGATTTCTGTTAGAGTAAGGAGATTAATAAGAAAGTAATATTTAAATAAGCATATTAATTTGATTTAGGGTAAAAGAAGTTTAAAAAATGGTGGATCAGTAAAAATAGGAAAAATATGTCTATCATACATTAAATTACACAAGAAGGACAATCAATTAATTGTAGAGTACAACAATACACATTTATGGCACCAAAATGAAATTTGAAAATTAAGATTAACCACAACTGATAGAGCAAAACTGGCAGGTATATTATTTTATTTTACTATATTTTATTTAGTATATACCCAATGATAATACTCTTCAATAGGTAAGTTATCTATGGGAGTTCCAATTCAAAGAGTATTAAACGATGTTCGAAATTCTGTGGATGGAACACCATTGAAGCGTTTACATATAATAAAAAAACAAGACATACACGACATCAAAAAGGACTACAATATTAACAAGGGTTTTACAAAAAGACATGAAAATGATTTTATGAGTGTTCAATTATGGGCCCAACAGTTAGCAAAAGGTAGTAATCCAAATCCAGTTTTATATTTTAAGCACCAAGGTCAAGATGACGTGACAACACATTTGGGAAAAGATGATTTTTGTATCATCATTATGACTGATTTCCAAGCTGAAATGCTGGTTAAATTTGGAAATGACAAAATTTGTGTTGATGGTACCCATAGTTTGAACAATTACAGTTTTCAGCTATACACGTTACTTGTTGTTGATGAATATGGTAATAGGATTCCAGTAGCATTTTGTTTTAGCAATAAATCTGATACTGCTACATATATATTATTTTTCAAATCTGTAAAAAAATTGGTTGGTATTATTTAATCTTATGTATTTATGTCTGGCGATGAACTAGCATTTTACAATGCATGGTGTGCTCCATTATGGGTCCAGTTTCAAAACAACTCTTATGTACATGGCATGTACTCAGAAATTGGAACAAAAACCTGTCAAAAATACATTGCCATGAAAAAAAAGCTATAGTTCTAAAACATTAAAATCTCTAATGTTTGAAACTGATGAAAAGGCGTTTAATATTGAATTACTACAGATATTAAATTACCTCAAAAATGATTTAGACACAGTTGAATTTGGTAATTATTTCGCTACAACATATTCTTCAAGGGTTGAAAAATGGGCATTTTTCAAACGAAAATAATATGTTGGTATAAACACTAACATGTATTTAGAAGCTCTCCATAAAAATATAAAATACTGGTATTTAGAAGGTAAGCAATGTAAACGACTGGATTCATCAATAAATGCACTATTGCTTCTAGTTCGAGACAAATTCTTTGAAAGGGTTCTCAAAATAAACATAAAAAGTCATCCAAAATACTTAAAATTACATCTAGGCATAATAAAAGTGTAAATATTTCATCAAATATGATTACTGAAACGGAACAAAATAAATGGATTGTTATTTCTGAAACTGAATCAGAGGTAAAATATTTAATAGAAAAATGTAATGTAATTTGTAATAATTGTATTCTACGTTGTGATTCTTGTAATATCTGTGTCCATAAGAGTGGCGGTGCAAACTTTTTTGACAGTGAAGCAAGAAAATGTTAGTTGCAGCACACACGACCCACCTTTTTATTTTGCACAGAGCCGTGGGGGGCTATGCCGCAGACCCCCTATAATTCTATATCAAATTAGCCTTTCTAAAAATTCATGTTACGGGTACTACAATAAAAAAACTTTTATAAATTATATAAATACTGCATTATTAACAAATCATTAAATGTACTTTCAATTAAAACAATCATCCAAACATTAATTATTTTCTCAATACACTTATTATACATCATTTATAAACCATGTTTATGTCTATACTCTATATGAATATGACTATTTATATATTTATTTATTTGATACGTTGTGTCACTCAATATTTTTCAGAACTGACTATCCACCATAGGTACCTACTCGGTACCCACCCACCACCCCTTTTAGCTGCGAGACATTTGTCTCACAAAAACCCTCTTGCGCCGCCACTGGTCCATACATTTAAATGCTCATGCATAGATAATGTTTTGTATTTTAATATTTGTAAACAAATATATGCCATTGCCAAATGTAATGTTGTCATGAATGATAATAGCAATAATAGTAATGTTATACCCTTACCAGTTGTTGATGAAAATATTATACTTGGAAGCACTGCTGAAATATCTGAAATATCATCAACATCTTTAGAATAAATGAAGAAAAACAAAAACATATTTATAACATTGCAATAAAATTATTGAATTACTTACAAACGAATCAAAACCTATGCAAACTGAAGATATAAATACAATTAACATAAAAAAAAATATTGAAAAACAACCACGTTTCTTTACTAAAAATAAAAAAAATAAACTTGAATTTCTTCAATTGTCGTCGAGTGAAGGTAATATAACAAGAAAATCCTTACTAAATAATACAAGTGTTTTAAATGTTCATTCATAAGACGATCATTCTTATAGCGCTAAAAGAAAATGAATTTCTTAATATATTGTTGAATTGTATCTTTTAAATGACGATCGTAGGTGAACAATGAATATTGTGTTTTTTTTCGAATTGTGTATTATTAAATTTATTAACTATTAATGTATTTAACTATTTTAATTATAATTAATATAGTAAAATATAATATTATACCTAATTTATAATGAAAATTATGTTATCGGTTTATCAATGTTATCATATTTTGATAACTGCAAAAAAGGGGCTAAATGTAGGCAATTATATACGAACACAAAAAATGTTTTCCTGCGAACATCCATTCGTTTTTTATGCAGGGACCAATTGTCTGTTTACCAGTTATGTCGTATCAGTAAACATTAAACAGCCAGCGAACCGTTTGCTTCCGTAACCACCGTGAAAACACGCTTAAATGTAAGATAGAAGGCGTGTTATCATTCTATTATTTTAAATATCTACCTCTACAAAATATCTGCAATGGTCTATTAAATGATCCATGTCTGACTATTCCTACCAGTTTAATGAAAATAAATAAATATGAAATTGCCTTATGGATATTGTGACTTACGCGTTGAACGAGTTAATGGTGATATTATCAATACTTTTATTGAATGTAAGTGACATTTAAAATTGTACTCTAAGTAGTTGTGTAATCAATGGGGAATCTATCAGTATTGGTGGATAGAGAAATAACTTCAAGTTAAATTGTTCGCTAAATTTGTTAAACTGATTCTGCACTTGACAATAAATTAACAGAGCTTTAATTGTAGACTAACATTTTTTTTTTCATGTCATTTCCAATCTTACTTATACTGATTTTTGTTATTTATTTATGAATAAAAAATGTATTTTTTTCTCATGCTTAATGCCGGCATACATTGGCCATGATAGAGTTAAATTGTATCTTGTTGCATCAGTGTGTGTTTGCCTTAATAAAAAAATCCTGGACCTAGAGATACTTACGACTTCATTATTCTATATATAGGTATGCCTAAGGAACTATTTGGGTCCCACAGACTATAGTTCTGTAATTATTAAACAATAAATATGGAAATGCATAGGTACCTATTTATTTATTTTCAATAAACTCATATTATTAAAAATTTAGAATAATTCCTAACATTTTTTTTTAATCAAATAATATTTATTTTTAATACTTATGTATGCAGTATACGTTTAAATTGATAAATGTTATGTGCAGTGTCTTAGAATCCAGAAAAGTTTTTGTGCTGTTCATTTAGCTATCTAAAAACAAGTGTAAAAATAATGTTTTCCTTAACAAAAATTGTTATCGTGCCTCGTTATTTCATGTTAGCCCCCTCCAATTATAGGTTCTTTCAATTATACAATGTTTCATAGTATTTATACATTAATAATGGATTTGGTACTTTATTTATTCAATTTATTATTTTTAAAAAACTTTATAACTTTCATTTGAAGTAAAACAGGAAATATGGACAGTGGTCATGTGTGTTTATTTGGACGGAGGCAAGCAAGTTTTTATTCAAGCATAAATAATTCATTAACTTGTATCTTGCATGGAGCTGAGTAACTGTAACTGTAACTTGTAACCACTTTAAAATATCCAAAGTATCTTAAATCTGGTGTCCATCAATTGCACTGGTAAATTTTTCATGAATTAAATAGGTGTACATCTATTGCCCCAGGAAAATATTCACTATTGATTATTGATGAATGATAATGTTATAAGATATAAGATTTAATATTTTAATTAAATATAAAAAATGTGTTGAAGTTAAAAGTTAGTTTAACTAAATTATCTTACTTATTATAAATGATTGAAAATTAGTGTAAAAAAATGTATCTATAATTTATCTTGAGATGAATACGCTCATGATTCATTAGTATAGATTTTCATTTTTTTGTTATATTGACAAAAAAATTAGAATGTATTGATAGTCTCGTTTTGTATCATGAAATATCCTGAATGTTGGGTTTTGTTTTTATATTTACTATTTTGTATGTTACTTTTGTTTTCAATGCTATTAATTTTAATATAATATATTAGTTGTATTTACTATTTAGATAAGTTCTAGAACTGTAAAAATATTTTAAAAAATTGGGTGTGCTGAGTAAAAGAATTTTCTGGATTTTCCAGAGGTTTATTTGAGTGATAGAGTATAGAGGATGGATTTTAATCTTCAGATAGTATCATTGTCTCATCTGATTTTTGTTGATGGGTATTACATTTTGACCAATTAATAATTTTACCTCATGGAATTTATTTATTTATTAAATCATCATTATTAAATTGATAAAAGCATGAAATGATAAAAAAAAAAAAAAAATGAAAATAACAAATTTAGTGAATAATTTGCAAATTTGCAAAATTATCAACATCAGTGGTCGTTCCTAACTAAATTTATTAATAATTACAGACTCGATTGAAGGATTTTTCACTCACATTATTGAAGCCATACTATATAAAACACCTATTACGCTTATTGTACCATTTATGTATAGATTGTATATCTTTTAAGTAAAAATAAAAAATAATAATTTCCTATTTTAAGCAACTTTTTTTGCACTCAAAAAAGTGCAACATTTTCGGTACTTCAATCATCGCCTTTCACAAATAACGTGTAACCTTTATAATTTTTTTTTTATTTGTGATTTCTGGCTCAATAGAAATGAGTCCTATTTATCTTGTAACTAAATATAGAATATATTATTGTAACTTGTAACTAGTTACAACTAATTGAGTAACTTGCTCATCCCAGATTCTAATCTGAAGTAATGAATACCAAGTTTGGTGTTATCTAATTTAATATTAAAAATGTTCAATTATCTAGTTTAGTGCATTTTGATTTTCTATAATGAGAGCATCTTTAAATGTATGAAATATTTGTTTATAGATGGCTACGCTTTGATTGCTGTAAATACTACAGTTAACTGTTCATTACTTGGTGTTGGAAATTCTAATAGAAAAAAAAGAAAAATTGTAGAATGTAATGGTGAAAACAAAGAAGAAAATGACTGGGTACCAATTCCCAAGTTAATAAATGTAAGTATTTTATATTTAGTATAATATATAGGGCTGAAAACTTTTAGTACTTATAACCTAAAATATGTATGCGCTTATGAACTAAAAAACTACAAATATGCTCTAAGAAAATGAATAATATGAATTTCAGTTTTTAAATTGTACAATTAATATGAAAACAAAAATATAAAAATGATTCAGTAGCAGTTACTAAAAAGTTTACATACTCTACCTGCTCCAGGTGTGCTGTATACTGACACAATCTGACGACCTTTAATCATTATTGTTAACCCCTAAAGTCAATAAGATAGTATAATATATTGAGATTAATATTAGTAACAGTTTTATTTTATTTTTAAACATTAAATTTTCTAAATGTGTATATATTATATATTTATATCTTAGATGCTCCTAATTTGTCAAAGACCAACATTTTACACTTAATATATTTTTATTTGTCTAAACAAACTTCATTACATTGAAAAATTACAAAAATTTGCAAAATAAAATGTTCAGTGTGACTGGCTTATATTATTTTTTATTTTAATTTATTCTTCAAGAAGATAATGGGTCCCATTGAATATGTTTGTATGGGAGCCTATGAGTTCACAATTTGACATATAAATTTATTAAATAGTTAATATAATTTAAATAATAGCAATTTGCAATACACATTTCTCATATAACTAAAACATCAATATAAAAAAAAAAAAACGTTTATTTTTTTTGTTTATATAATATAATATTATAGTGTAATATTATGTAAACAATTGTGTAGTGAAATAATACAAAATTATAAAAATCTAAAATCTGAAATCATCTAATTAATATAATACCTAAAAGTAATGCAATAATTCTATACATGTGTTATGAGTTTGTCTTTACTTCGTTCATGTAATTGCCAGTGTATTTTTTTTTAATCATAAAATAGTTGTTCATTTTTAATATAATGTACATTTTTGGACCAATATATAAGGATGATTGTGTTAATGTAACATTAAATAACTAAACAATATAAATATTTATTTTTTGTTAATACTAAATACTAATAATTTATTCAATATTTATAATTATTATTTTATTTTTATTTTTTATTCATGAAATAAAATATATATTATTTTTAATGGAATTTTCAAATTAAGTATAACTTAAAATGTAGCATGAAATAAATATATTAGAAAAATATATATACTCTTAATTAAAATAAAATATTTATTAAATTATCTTAATTTATTTAAAATGATGAATAAATATTTATTAAATATTGATGTGCTGTGTGGGAAATTTTCAATTTTTGACATCGAATAAAATTGTATTGCAATTTATAAAAAAAAACTTAATATATATATTTTATTAAATTAGTCAAAAATTATATAATTATGTACTTACTTAAAATATATATTTGAATAATTGTATAATTAAAATTAATGACTTGTTGAAGAAGGTGAACAGAATAAAGTTACTCACAACAACGTGTAATGTTATACTGTCACTATAATACGTCTCTAACGAGATCCTTACCTACCAGAGTTATGAGTTGTAATCTACCTATAGCTAATTTTCTATTATGATATTGAGTTGTAACTATCATCAGTTATTATAGATAATAATATTATATTATATGGAATTAGATATTGTATATGATTCTGAAACCTTCTCTTAGACTTAAAAATATTACCTAGATTGGACACCTATACAACATAGTACATACAATGACGACGATTAACGCGATAAAGTGCTGCACGATGAACTTAAATGAGCGACGTAATGATCACAATAAAATAACCTCGAAGAAATAGTCGCTATAAAATACTGCACAATTAACAAGCATGCGATAAAACGTCGGCGATAATATTTCGCGCGATTAACTGTCGCAGAATCCCAATTTTACTCTCAGAAGTCCAAGTTTAACTCTGTCAGTTTAAAAAATAAAGTGAATTGACCTCTTGTTAAAACTAATGATGAGATTATTATAGAAAGCATCTCATGGGCTTTATTTTAATTTTAAAACGAGTTATGGGTATTTTAAAATTGTAAATTGTTTGTACATCTTAAAATACTCATAACTCTCTTTAAAATTAAAATATAATAAAATGTCCATGAGATGCCCTTCATAATAATCTTACCTTTAATTTTAATAAGAGGTCAATTCGCTCTAATTTGTAAACTAACAGAGCTAAACGTGATCTGCTGAACTTAAATTTGATATGTTACGCTCTTGTAAGACAGAGACAACACATGCGGGGATACCGTCCTAGACAAATATTATAAGTCCTCAGCCCTAATAATATTAATTTATAAATCTAATGTACCATTGTATTTAGTATGACAAGTTTTAAATGTATAAGTGCATTGGCCATAGTTTGAAAAGTGTTATAATATTAAAATTTATTTTATTTTTTTTTAGTGTGATGATTTCAAATTGAACATAGTTAATCGATTGACTGTACAAGTATCAAATATTGGACAACTGCAAAGAATTGTAAGCAACAAATATGTTACAGGAAAAATAGAAATTTGAGTAATGCTCTTGATGCCCTAATTTTGTAGTGACACTTGAAAAAGTCTACATTATGCATAATAAGCAATTAATAAAGATTTTCAAAGTATTTGGATAAAGTATTAAAATTAAGAATAGTTGTTTAATTTCAATAACAAAACAAACTAAAAATATTTCTATATGCATTCCTCATATTATTTTTATATGCATCACTATAGTACCAAGTGTGAATCCAGTGGGGGTATAGGTTGGCAGCAGTCTTTATAGTTAAATTGTGATGGTAGAAATCACAAAAATTAATAATCTTTCATAATTTATAAAACAAAAATATAGTCTATTTGTTCACAATTTAAACTCAATGATTAGTTACTGTCTTATAATGGTCCCCACACACTGCAATGGTAGCGGTAAAATGAGTCCGGACACAATTTACCGCCACCACGGAGGCACCGCCAAGACAAAAGAATTTTACCGCTACCGTTGCAGTGTGTGGGGACCTTAATAAGGTATAACTATAATAAGTGGCCTGTTATAATGTTTTTGAATTATTCCTTCATACATTTTGGCATCAACAATTAAAAAAACTGAAATGACGCACCTGAATTTCTACCTTTAGATACATCATTACACCAAATAGTACTAAATTACAGTTTTGATATATTTATTTATGTCAGAATGAAATGAAAAAAACTACTGCATTACTTTTGAACAATCGCGATGATGCAAATAATGAATCAATTTTTGACATGTTGTTAAGGATAAAAAATAAAAATACCTGGTAGTCCAGAAGGGAGTATTGCTGATAGTGTACTAAAATCCCTTGGCTTTCCTCCCCCATGGAATCATCCTGAAATTGCACTTGTATATTACATCTATTAAAATGGAAAAGACATTTAATATAAAATTCAATTAAAGTTGTCCAGAACTTTTACAACTACACTTGTGGAATTTAATGTATTTTATACAGAATTGTATATGTGTAATCGTTAAAATTTTGGCTACTGAATTAAAAAAATGTCTACACTGCTTCTCTTAGACCAATTTGTATTTATGGTAGTTATCTTGGGATTAGATTAGATATGTATTAATTGTTCAGTCCCATATAATATAGTCATAAAATTGTATATCTCAATTAAATTGTTATAATTTGAAGTTTTTTCATTTTCATTTTTGAATTGTTCATTTTCACTCTAAATAAAAAAAGATTTCATATAAATTGCACTGGTTTTTAAAATTAGTTCATCACATATTACTTAATTTAAAAATACACTGTTCTGTATATTTAAATATAAAAGTATTGCATTTCTTGTTAAATATATTTTTCATTTTAAGTTATAACTAGGACTAAACAAAACAAATTACAAAGTGCATTGTTATAAAAATTATAGTATAATCCTGTCCATTGTATATATTCATTCCTTTTTTTAAAATAATAATTTGATTTAATTCACTTTGTCCACAGATTTTTGGGCAGACTATACTTAGTATGGGAATTTCATTAGTATGCCAAGGGATTGTAAAAATATTGAAGTCTTAAAATTATTAGTTTTAGATTGCCCTAATTGATTTTACATTTTTTAACAATATTCAAACTTTCTATTTTATTTCTAACATACAATAATTGACCTGTATACAAAAATTAATATATATTTATTTTTTTATTTTAGTTCAATTCTCAAAATTTTAAATCGTATAATATTCTTGCCGTAGAACCATTAAATGATCAAGTTTTTCAGGTATGGACTGTTATTATTATTTTAATGAAATATTTTAATAAAAATTTTATACAGTTACCTACTATAAAAATATAAATAGGACGTCATATCTGCGTTTGTTGTCTCCTTCTTACTAACACATAATATACCAAAATGTACGTCCATCAGTTCCCATATTGTGTTTTTAGCTTAAATATTAAAGTGAATTGGCCTATAACCAAACTTAAATTTAAAAACATTATCTATGTTTTCTTATTGGTTTTTAATGATATTTTAATTAATATTTTACATACTCGTAACTCACTTAATTATTAAAATATAGTGTACAACCAACGAGAGAACACAGATAATGTTCTTAATGGGTCAATTCACTCTAATATTTAAGCTAACAACACAAAATGGGACTAACAATTTGATTTTATGTAAGACAGAGATAATACAGAGTACAACGTCCTCTTAATTATTTATATTATACAGTGGAACCTCAATTAACCTTGTCTCGATTATCCAATCCCGATTAACCTAGTATATTAGCCATGTTTTTGGAAGAGTAAGCTCTTCCAAAAATATAAAATTAAGTATAGATTATGAATAGTTATAATCGAACATTTTATATTATATAATATACAATATTGACAAATTAATGACGAAAATTTGACAAAGTTTTGACCAAAATAATATGAAGATAAACAATATTATGGATTGTTTAATAAATTATATTTATGAAATCAGAAAATTATTTCAAATCTAATAGGATAAAAACTTCTAACTTCATATATTAAAGCCCTAATAATTTGTTATAAATAATATGAATTTGTAATTTTAATTAAATAAACAATTCAAAAATTAATTACAGTAGAAGCTTATTAGAGGTAGTACCTTCTACTGTATTATAAAAAGTCTCGATTAACCGTGGTTTTCATTTATCTGTGTGACTCCCTCCGCACCATTACTCAGGATAATCAAGGTTCCAATGTATTAAATTGTGCCTCAAAAAAGTCTAATATGAATTGCTGTTTATGAGCATTATATATTTTTGTTGTAAAAACATATGAAGTGTATTAAAATTCTTATTTATACTTTTGCATAGATATTTTAAGTGTATGATTTCTTCATATGTATCTGCATCTATTTATTTTACTACTACACATTTTAATTTTCAGGACATAGTGACTTCTGCATCTGTTGATATAATTGACATATTCATTTGTAATATAAAAACATCTATGACTCCAAAGCAATATTTAATTGCAATAGAAAAAAACATTTATTTTGAAGTAACTTACTCACCTATGTTAGTTAATTATATTGCTCGCCAAGATACTTTAAGTTTGGCTCATCTTTTTCACATGAAAGGAAACTCAAAAGTAAAAAAAAAACTATATTTTAAATTAAAATAACTATTTTTAAATGTATTTTTATTTCAGAATGTAATTGTTTCGAGTGGGGCAGTTAATAAATTAGACATACTTAATCCTCATGATGTAATGAATTTGTATCCTTTTAGTTGAAAAATTAAGTTTTTTGAAATGTTGACATTTAAGTCAGGAAATGTCAATAAATATGATACTGTAGAAAAATTGTAAGTTGTATAAATAGGCAATACCCTCATAAAAAATCTTGGTAAAGTGTATAACACCACATGATACTTATGCACATAATATTTTTTTTTCTAAGGTTTAAAACTATTTATGCCACAAAATTACTATCATTTGTTTTTTTTAAATATTTTTTAAATATTTGATTATATAAATAAGAGTTTGATCATAAGTTATCAACATTGCTTTTTTCTTTGTGCTCTTTTTAACTATTGTTAAGTATTTAAAAAAAGATTCTTTTACTCAACTAATATTCATTTAGTTATGATACCATGAACTTTGTTTCTTTTTATATTCCTTTTCCACAACATTTGAAATCTTATGACTACTATTCAAGATTCATCAGTAATTAAATATTTGATAGTAAAATTAAATATATTACATTTCTCTTCTTGATTTTAAAATAAAAAAACTTGACCTAAGTTCAGAGGTGTTTTACTAGGTCTTTCAAGGAAACAGTCAAAAGAATCGATCACTCAAGCATGTTATTCGATTTTATTACAAAGCTGTATGTTATTATAAATTAGTTTTTAAAAACTAAAAGTATTAATACAATTAATTTAGTATGTAATTATACATTTCAGATGAAAAAAATATAAAGTCTGTGCATTAACATGAAACCAAGAAAAATCACTTCATAATATTGTAAATAATTTATAAAATCAGACTTATTTATACTTTGTTTTTAAAATATGTATCTAATTATAAATATAGATTTTACATATTTAATAGTTTTTTTTTTATGAACAAAAATTGTATTTTTAAAATTATTGTAGACTAATGACGATGAAGAACAAACTTCTAGGACGAAGAAAGATATTTGTGTTTATTTACAATTTTATATTAGAGGGATTGTTAAACAATATGCTTAATAAAGGTACCAATATAATATATTATGTTATAATGTAGATAATTAAATATTAAATAGACCTGAAGTTTGTACAAATAAACATAGATTAAAAACAAACAATTTGTTATGATAACTATTGCTTATTACATTGGTGTTAAGGTTTTGTGGACCCCTGTAAAAAATAAAAATGATGTCTGAGTCCACAGACCTCCGAAATGCAGAATTTATTGGAGTTAATCATTTGTAAACTATGAATAACTGAGGTAAATAATGTGGTTGGTTGTTTGCGGGCATCGCACATTTTAACAATGAAAAGTCTACCTAAATAAACAACGATGATACATTGGGCACTCGATAATATTAGATAGAGTACAGGATCAAAAATATTTAGTTTTGTAAACTATTTAATATTTATTTCATACATTTAAATAATAGTTTTATGATTTCTTTTGACAATTAATTTTGACTAATTAATGATTTTAGTCCAACTATAATAAACACATTTTATTTTACTAATATAATATACATATAATAAATAGTATATAAATGTAGAGTCTTGAAATTATTGTTATTTGTGACAATAGAAATGGGATAACTTTAGACCTTATACTCATAGATGGAAGTCTAGTGATGGGCATTAGTGACTAATTACTACCGATTTAGTCGGTAGGTCGGTAGTACCTAGTGATGTAAATTTTCATGAACATTTTCAAAAACATGAAAATTTTGAAAATTTTATAATTTATAATATTAATTTCTTATCAAATAAATCTTTTGATATTATATAGTTATAGTTATAACTTATAACTTGTAATGATATTATTATTCATATATTCATAGTTATATTTTAAACTATGTACTTTTATTACCATTTATACCCATTAATGTGCATTTTTTTCTTTTATTAAAAATGTATTTTTACTTCAGTGTAAATGTTGAGTGTATAAATAATTGTTTTGCTACAAATTACAATTATTGATTTTTATGTAATTTATTGGTTGAGTCACTTCCACAATTTTAACCAAATTATAATTTTTTCTATTATAAGTGTTTTGTTTGACTCTGATATTAATACATTATACTTATTACAATTTAAATAAAAATGAAACAGACATTTTATAAAGTATTTGAATATATTTGAATTTGAAAATAATAAAATATTGAAACAATTTTAATTCTAACAGTCTTTTGTTAGTTAGTACTTGGTAGTAAGTGGTAACAACTTATTACTATGTAAGTACAAATTAATCGCTTATCTTAGAAAATAAAAAATAATATATATATCAAACTTAAAAAATATATATAGATCACAAAGTAGGTAATTATTTTAAATCAAACAGTCTTTTGTTAGTTGGTATTTGGTTGTAAGTGGTAACATCATGTTACTATGTATGTACAAATTAAACGCTTATATTATAATTAACAAATTAATATATCAAACTTAAAAAATATATATAGATCACACAGTTGCTAATTATTTTACATCTAACATTCTTGTTAGTTTTTAATATGTAAATAAAAAACAGTTCTTTTAAAAAATATATTAAACTAAAAAAAAAAAGGTAGATTTGTAAGTAAGATATTTCTTATTCATAATTTAAAATTGTCTGTAATCTATTTCTGGGACATCACAAACTCCTCTAGAACTTTTTACCTCTGGAGATTTAATCAACTGCATTATATCATCATACTTTTACCAAATTTCATCTTTTGAAGTAGGCCATTTCCATCCAGACCCGCTCATCACCATCACACTTACTAAAGCTGAACTCTGGCTTGTATCATTTCCAACACCTGGAAAAAATTCCCCTTCATATTTAACTATAGCAAAGTCTCCATTTTTATATTTATCTTCAAGATTCTGAACACTACTTTCATCAGAATTATCATCGTTATTTAAAAATCCCAGTTCTTCTTCACTTTCACTAGATACCACTAAATCTTGATTTTTCTTGATTCTTTTATTAGGGCCTGACTCTAATAAGCAATCAGAAATATTATCATCATTATTTAATGGCAGTGAATTTACTAAAACAGACAACACACTTTGTATCATTGTAGGTTTATTTTCAACATTTTTCTTCAATAGTCTCAAATTATGATTAATATAGACTAACTTCCCAGCATGATCATTAGTGAGTCGATTTCTCTTTGCTGTGTGAATATTTCCATATGAACTAAATGTTCTTTCACATGCGGCTGACGTTGCAGGAAGTTGAATTATCCTTGTTGCAATTATGGATAATTTAGAAGATGAACACAAACCATTCCACCAAGTTGTAGCTGATATTTTGCTGACAGTATCCCAGATGAATGATTTGCTCCACAATCCTTCCTTAACTCTATATTGATCAAACCCAGCTAAAATATGTCCTTCGTAAACGTTATCTGAATAACTCTACGACTGACTGGGCGGCCGTGACTATGGAGCCCTCTGTGCAACGACCAGGGTCAAGGGCGCCCGCAGGGGGGGGGGGGCAAAGGGGCCATTGAATATCAGTGAATATTATGTTTAATGCATGGAAAACATTCAGACAGAACAATAATCAACCAGTTGCTTCATTTAGTAAATATTATCATATTTTTGTGTCAAAATTTAATATTAGTTTTGGCCATCCTAGACAGGATGTGTGTTCACTTTGCACTGAAATGAAAAAACAAATAAAAGAAGAAGTTGACCCAAATAAAAAAGAAGAAATTAAGTTTAAGTTACAAACTCACTCAAAAAAATCTAAACTTTTTTTTGAAAAAATGGCTTCTAAGTCTGATAACATAATATCTGTTGCATTTGATATGATGCAGACACAGCCTCTTCCCAAACTTAGTGTTACAGATGTGTTTTACTGTCGTCAAGTATGGCTGTACAATATTACATTTGTCATAAACTCTAAAGGTATTGAAAATCCTAGTACTTGCTATACATATACTTGGTTAGAAACTGAGAGTGGAAGAGGGCCAGATGAAGTATGTTCTGCTTTAATGTCATTCCTAACTAATTTAGAAAATAAAATAAAGGTAGAACTACCTCCTGAAAACTATCCAAAAACATTAAACTTATTTTCTGACTCGTGTTCTGCACAAAACAAAAATAAATACATGATAACAACTCTTTTATATTATGTTAACTATAAAACCACAATATTTAATGAAGTTAACCATATATTTCCTGTCCGTGGTCACAGTTATATGCCACCAGACAGGGTGTTTGGAAGAATTGAACAAAAATTAAGAAAAAAAGAAAACATTGTATCACCAAATCAATATTATGAAGTGTTTAAAGAAGAATCCACAGTCTTTGTTTATGGAAAAGATTTTTCAGTGTATAATTACAAAAATGCAGCTTCAAAATTATTAAAATCAATCTTAGGTTTTAAATCTACCGAACAAAAATGCTTTTCTTACATAAAAGGATTAAAAACTGTTGGAGTATCACCATCATACACTGATACACCAGTTAGAGTTAATGTTTTAAAAATAAATGCTGATCTCAGTGTTTTTGGTGAATATTTGGAACTTTTACCAAAACAAAGTCATGTCAAGGATGCTAAAAGGATTGATGTGTCTGGTCTAATGAAATTTTTTACTATACCCCCTGACGCAAAACAATTTTATGATGACATTTTATTACAAACAACTATTGAAAATAATGCTTTTAATGAAGATTAAGAAGGTACACCATACTACAATGAAGATGAACAATAAAATAAAGTATTGTAGAAAATATAATAAATTGTAATTTTTTGCAATAATGCAATGTTCATAATATGTCTTTTTACCCTTTTAAAAAAAAATATACATTTAATATTCAATAATTATTTAAGTGTATTTATTGTTTAAGTTTGATTTCATACCTAAATGTTAAAACTTCAAGCATAATAATATGTCTTATCCATAGGAATATTTTACTTTTTAAAATACCTAATAATGTTCCTAAAATGAACCATTTTTAGAAATAGGAAGTTTTGGAAAAAAATAAGTATTTTTGTGCAAAACAGACAATTTCCATTTTGTTTTTTCCAAAGCAGACTATTTCCAGGAAATAGTACGTTTTGCACAAAATTGATGTATAAAATCATTAAAAAAAGGTATAAGAAATAACTTTTTATTAAATTAAAATTAAAAAATGAGTTAATTTTTTAATTCTACTTATAGAACCATAGATCAATTAAATATTAAACTTTCAATAATGTTGTAATAGAGAATTGGTCTTTTTGAAAAATCATGTTTTTGGAAATAGGTTGTTTTGGAAAAGAACCCCTCAATTACTGTTATCCAATCAGCAACAGGTTTAAGGAGTCTATGGATCTGTATGATACCTTTCCAAAATGTATCACAAAGTAATTCTTTTTTTGTACCTTCAGATAATACTTTTACAACTCTATCATCAATAGCAAATAATTGCAGAGCACTTTTATTATCTAAAATATTTCCAAGACAAGCCACATGAGAACCCCATCTAGTTTTTGCTGGTACCATATGACTAATTTAGTTACTCGAACATTATTATTACTCGACTTATTTATATTATTCGACTAATTATTATTATTTGACTTATTTTTATTATTCGTCTAATTATTATTATTTGATTTATTTTTATTATTTAACTTATTATCATTATTCAATTTGTTTTTTTTTATTATTCAACTGATTTTTATTGGACTGATTGCAAACTTTAGCATGAATTACTTTAATTCAACAATATAACAAAAAACATAACTAGGAAAAATAAATACAAATGTACAACTGTTTTAAATTTTTGTTTAAAAATATTAACATATTTAAATTTTATGGATGTGTTCTATTTCTTTTTGCTGACATGATTTCACCTGCTTTTGAAAAAATGGGGAGGTAGCAGGGATCACTAAATACTTCAATGCTAAGTTGAATAATTCGTCCAACAGTATTTTGTGTTTGATCCAAAAATCGATTGGCTTTGATTTTCTATTGGAGTGTGGTAGACTGAAATATTGTTTTAAAATGTTATCCGCAGTGCTTACTGATGTAACTTGAGTTTGTTCTGTATTCAGTTTATCATCTAAGAAACTCCATAAATCGACGGCTTCATTATTAGAGATGGTTTGAATTTCATGAGTTTCAGAAATATTAGAATTTTCTTC